GAACCAATCATGGTCACATGTGTGTACTTACAAGCTCTCTCTCTCTCTCTCTTCGTCGTCGTCGTCGTCGTAACAAGTAACTCGATGATACCACGCAAAAAATGCGATATCGGACGAAAAAAAATGATCATCAACTTTCGACGAAGCATCGACTTAATGATACTCTGGCTCGCAAAATGTAAAATCACAACACCGATACAACAGTAAAACACCTTAAGTATTATTTTTAAAACGAAATTCATTATCTTTTTAACTCGATATTTTCACAAATCATTATTACCTTCGTGAGGTAATTAAAAATCATTTTTCTTCTCTTTAACTACAACAGCTCAGATAAAACCAAATTTAACCACTTAACATTTTTCGTGTAGATGGATTTAAAAAAGCTCGAAAAATTTTTCGCTCTACAAATACCAATAGTGTAAAAAAAAAAAAAAAAAAAAAANGTAGTATTTCTGACTTTGAAATGCGTATTTGCGCGGTAATCGATGGTAAAAATGTTTAAGGCGGTTTTTTAATGTTTTGATTAAAATATCCCTGAAGTTTTTTTAAAAACCACATAATACATTATTCCATTTTTTTGGGATCCCTACAATTCAAAAAGTATCAAGACAAATGTAAAAAAATGTTTCAGTAGTAACATCCACGTTTGGTCAGACACATAAAGTACGAACCAACAGAATACACTTTGTACCATTGGCGTAAAAAAAAAAAAAAAAAAAAAATTCCTTACAAAGTACATTCGTACAATACTTATACGCGAGAGTGTACAGCTCGCGTGAAATACTCTTTACGATATTTAGTAGCTCATCGGTGAAAATCGTTACAATGCAAAATATATATCATACTTGCGGTATTGGGATTGGCAATCCCGTGACTCTCGCAAGGATTGCCAAAGGGAGTTCAACCAGCCATGAGTTATTGTATACATGGCGCATCTCAGTTCATCCGATCCCAATGTAGTTGTCGGTAGGTATCACATTTTACCTCGATCAAGCTGACTGTGGTGTGTCGTTGAATACTTTGTCCCAAAAGCTCATTCGCTCGGAATTCAGTCCAGTCTTCATTGCGAGCTCTTTGCCGATGTCAAGGTATTTTTGATTTTTCGGGGTAAACTTTTCCCAGGTAACATCCTTGAACAGAGTATCGTTGGAATCTTTTGGCATTGGCTCGCCGGTTTTTGCGAAATTCGACCATATGGCCGTCATGCGTTCGATCGTTTTCGTCTCGAGAGAATCTTTTTCGAAATCTGGGAAGGAGCTACTGCGGAATAGGTACAGCAGATCGTCGAGATGCACCACACCTGAAAATCGTCAGTTATTATCAATATTTATCTTTTAAAACCTTTTTTTTTTTTTTTTTTTTTTTTTTTACAGCAATAACCTTTGTCGATACTTTTTAAAATTTTCATCAAAAACTTTGAAAAGGTGCTCGCGATAAAAATACAACTATTGTATGCACATATGATACAAAACTAGAAACAAAAAATGCGATATCGGACGAAAAAAAATGATCATCGCATTTCGTTGCGGATCAATAGATGCTCGGAGAAGGGGGGGGGGGGGGGAGGAAAAAA